TTCAACACCGCCTCGGAGCTTGAAGGACATCCACACATTTTGACGAAAGGAGCTGCCTATACATCTCCGTGGTCCTATATGCCAGCTTCCTTGCACGCATCACCAACTCAGGGAGTCTCAAGGCGGGCTCCACGCAGAACTTGGGGTTAAGTTCCAAGGGCTTGGAAAATTCCGAGGGTACGCTCACCTTGACAAAGGCGGAGAAGCTACCAGCCGCCGGAGTCACTTTTTCTATCGTCTGACGCAGTGTCGGCAGCACGTTCATCGACAGGAACTCTGTGACTTCCACAATTAACTTGCACATTTCCAAGTGCCTTTTCCCTATGTGCGCCGAGCTGTGATGCACTTATACCGTGGTGTAATATTGTTATTTTTATTATATTTAATAAACGTTCTTCATATTCTCAAAGTGATGATCTGCCTCCTACTTGGCTAGGATTATATTCATGGGACTACAGCGACAAAAAACCCTAAATTCAGTTGTGGCCTTAAGTAACGTATTTGATTGGTTTAACTTGCGGCGCCGAAAAGTCATTATTTCAGAGAGTAATAAAGGTACTATCCGGTTCAAATGAAATGCAAATAACGGAGCGCGTGGCTCTAGACACATGCCGCGCCTTCCGAAGGCTTCTAAAAACTGATAAAACTACGGGGTGGAGAGTAGGGCGCTGCGAGGGCGTGCATCCTACTCCAATGTGTTTAACCCTCACCCAGCATAACCCAAGCTTGGACGCTGTGTCGGTGCTGCACTGGAGGTTCTGTCAAAACCGCTTTCGATGGCTCGACACCACGCGAGGAAGCTCGCCGTTCGCAGTAGGAGGGGGCTTTTGCGCGTGCGTCCGGGGAGCATGACCGCAGCGTCGCGCTCCCTCCAAACTTGCGCATTTTCTTTATTACGAATTTTTCAATAAGCATTATTCTGTTGGAGCCACATGCTCTCGGTCCCTCAAGAAGACATCTGCGTGGTTCTGATAACTGACGTCAATTAAGCTTTAATACTTTCCCTGAAGGAACAAACGGCGTTAACTTCTATTTAACGCTTCTGATACACGAGGCGATTACTGACGTGATCTTTAAACAAAATCCTGGCTGCCTGCAAAATGTGGCTTGTCAAAAGGGACCTTTAGCCAACCATTACCGTGGTCCGCGTACCGCATTACCGGTTCCTTTGAAGCATGCTTCTGAGCGCGCGCCCGGGTGATACCGCGGGGCCGCGGGGCTCGCGCTTGAAAGCATGCTGCAAAGGCTCCTGCAGTGCGGTACGCGGAACGCGGTTACGGTTCGCTTCAAGTTCCCATTGATGAAATTACTGTTTAGTTAAAATCTTTGTTGTATGCAGGAACTGCTTAACCAGCATTTTGGCGATCCCAGGGACACACGAGACACAAGTACTAGGGGGTAAACAGGGCGAGCGCTATTAGCTGATTTATAAAACTCTGTCGAATAAATGACTTCATTAGGTGTCAGCAACCTTCTTGGGTTGCTGACACCTTCATCTGTCTCGAATTTCGCGAAATTTCTGCTTTACTGCTCACAAAAAAAAAAATACAACCCGTACTTAAAAAGAGAAACGGCACAAATTAGGAGGGAGCCTGGCGCTACAGTCATGCTACACGGACGCGTGCGGAAGCAACATGCTCCCGCTGTGCGTGGCGTGTTTCCTCGAGTGGCTTGTTTTCGATCCCACGCTAGCTGTGACACAGACAGAACTTCCAGCGCACCACCGGCCCAGCGTCGAAGCTTGGATTGTGCAGGGTGAGGGTCGAACACGTCGGAGTAGGATACACACCTTCTCAGCGCCTTACTATCCACCCTGCAGTTTTATCAGATTCCAGAGGCCTCTTTGAGCCGCAGCGTGTGTCGACGGCCACGTGCTCTTCTGTTTGTATTTTATTCGAACCCGATACTGCAAATATAGATTTCAAATATTCTAGTCCTACATCTATAAACCTCTAATGGTAAAGTGATAAAGGTATCATTATACAAAAATACACCTTTTGAAACATCAATATGGTTGTGTCGTCCTGTAGTAACACCTCGTTCTTGGTGAAGTTCCCTACGTATATCCTATTCCTATTGCTGTACATCTTATTTGTAAACAAGAACATATTCCACTATATTAATATGGGCGGCAAACACATGAGAGGGGTTTATTTTCGAACTTAAATACGTTGCATGTTTAACCGAAAACCTTTGCAACAAATTGCTAAGAGTCAGGCATTTTAAGACGGCAGAATATAACTGCTCTAAAGAGAACTGCCGAGAAATATAACGTATAGCGAAAACTGGTGTTGCACCGATGGCACCCGTAGTAGCCCTTTGACATTTACGCACCTTCGACGAACCGATTCAGTGAAATGTACAAGGTGTGCTCGCGCCATATCATTCCCCAATTTTTTTAGCTCGAAAAGGCATGGTATTCTGCCGAAGGAAGCTTGCAATTAATAGGGTTAAGAATAATTTATTCGGCAATATTATTTTTTTAAAGTTTGGGCGCCTAAACAAAAAAAAAGTGAAAGCCGTTTACAACTCCCTGTAACGCCGAATTAGAGCGCAGCTCTTGAGGAGGAGGAGGGAAGGGTACTGGGGGGGGGGGTTCAACTGACCAGGGGGGTCACGTGACCCCCCAAGGTCGTCACTGATGACGTCATTAGTGACGATGACGATGCGGATACCGATGACGTCATTAGTGACGTCACTGATGACTTCACCAGTGATGATGACGATGACGATGCGAATGTCGGTGACGTCATCAGTGACGATGACGTCATCGGGGGGTCACGCGACATCGGTGGGGGTCACGTGACCTCGGGGGGTCACGTGACTTCGGGGGTCTCGTGACCTCGAGGAGGGGGTCAGGTGACCTCAGGGGAGTCACGTGACTTCGGGGGGTCACGTGACCTCGGGAGGGGTGGGTCACGTGACCCCGGTGGAGGGCTCGCGCGATGCATTATGGGACATTTCCCATAATGCACCCCGTGGTTACGCCGACGGCGACGCCGACGCCAACGGCGACGCCGCTCAAGCCGGAAACGGGCGTCTAAGAGCTGCGCTCTAAAAATGAACGCCGTGCCGAAGCACCGTGTTACGTAATAGCTCATGGTTCTACACTCAAAAAAGTAGAATTTAAGACAAGATTTTTTTTTCATTTGGCGACAGTTACTTAACGTCATTTTTGCTGGAAAGTGGTCAGATCATGAACCGCTCATATGCGTAAGATAATCTACCCGCATGTGTAGTATATTTCACAGACACATGGTTATATATTTTCAAGCCATCAATTTGTAACAAGTTGAGCCGCGACACTTCTATTTACCTTAATACTAAACAAAGTTTGGTGGGATTATATTATAATTTATGTATTCTCTAGGTGCAGTCCACCTTTTGCACGTGTTAATGAGTCGTAGGAAACCCACATATCTTTTTATTTAAGTCGAATGTATTTCCTCAGAAAGTAGATATACAGTCCAAAACGTTATTAGGAAGTGCTACCATATATGTTCTCGCGATTTAAATTGACACACAATAATCTAAAAAATAAATTTTGTACATCATTCGCAAAAAAAGTTTATAAAAAGTGGGTAAAAAAATGAAAGCCGTTTACTATTCCCTGTAACGCCGGTTTGAGCGCAGCTCTTTAGGAGGAAGATGGAAGCGTACTGAGGGACAGGTGACTCGTTGAGGTCACGTGACCTCGAGGGGGTCACGTGAGTTCAGGGGGTCACGTGACCTCAGGGGGTCACGTGACCTAGAGGTGTCACGTGACCTTGGTGGGTCACGTGACCTCGGGGGGGGGTCACGTGACCTCGCGGTTACGCCGACAGCGACGGTGACGCCGACGCCGCTCAAGCCGGAAACGGGCCCCTAAGAGCTGCGCTCTAAAAAGTGAAAGCAGTTTACAACTCCCTGTAACGCCGAATTTGAGCGCAGCTCTTGAGGAGGAGGGAAGGGTACTGGGGGGTGGGTCACGTGACCATGGGAGGTCACGTGACGATGCCGATGACGTCATCAGTGACGTTACTGATGACGTCATCACTGACGATAACGATGCGGATACAGATGACATCATCAGTGATGATGACGATGACGATACAGATGCCGGTGACGTCATAAATGACGTCACTGATGACGTCATCAACGATGATGACGATGACGATGCGGATGCCGGTGACGTCATCAGTGACGTCACTGGTATCCGCATCATCATCGTCGTCAATAACGTCATCAATGACGTTAATGATGACGTCATCAGTGACGATAACGATGTAAATACCGATGACGCCATCAGTGATGATGACGATGACGATGCGGATGCCGGTGACGTCATCAGTTACGTCACTGATGACGTCATCAGCGACGATGACGTAATCGCATCGTCATCAGTGATGATGACGATGCGGATGATGGTGACGTGATCAGTGACGTCACTGATGACGTCATCGGGGGTCACGCGACCTCGGAGTGGTCCCGTGACCTCGGGGTGGTCATGTGACCTCGGGGTGGTCACGTGACTTGAAGAGTCACGTGACTGGGTGTCACGTGATCTTGGGGGTCACGTGACCTCTTGGGGTCACGTGACCTTGGGATGACCTTGGTGGTCACGTGGCCGTGTGGTAACCTTGGGGATCACGTGACCTTGGGATGACCTTGGGGGTCACGTGACCTTGGGGTGACGTTGGTTACGCCGACGGTGACGGCGACGCCGCTCAAGCCGGGAACGGGCCCCTAAGAGCTGCGCTCTAATATATGCAAAATTGATTAGTCTTACGTTTATGTTCTCAGGGATCGGACACTTTTTCATTTGAAATTGGAAAGGCACAAACAATGTAATATAGTTATTGAGCTAGTATAACAGTAACCGTTAATAAAAGCAGGGTCCGTTATTTGCATTCTCTGAGCATTGCAGCCACATCGATTTTAAAACTACAGAAATCATAATATAACAAAACTACTGGCAGAATACCTAATGATAAGGAAATACACATCTATTCCAAACGCAGCTCGTTCGACAGGCAACGTCGTCTATCCAAGGCTTCTCGAGGCAAGAGGACTGGACGCTGACAAGGTTTTGTACATTCAAGATGACATTGTTCTCAATCTGCAAAAGACTTCAGTGCTCTCAGAAAGCTTTGTGTTTAGCAATAACAATAATGGAAGAAGAGTCGACAAACTTGTAAGTTTTCAATTGAACGAATGCATACATAAAATATAAATTTTTCTTTCAGATCAAACTGTTATATTATGAAGGTCCAATGAGATCAAGTGGTGTGCGTTTTATAGTTACTGACAAGATGAGAATGGCAACGCATGTCTTTCAAAAGCCCGACCTCCAGCCTGCACACCACGCCTTCCGCCGTGCTTCAGTTTTACGCGTGCACTCGAGGTGCACGAGACGCCGAAGCATTGTCAAAAGTAGGGACTCTGGCTGGATGTAGAACAACAGAAGCTCCTCCCTGTCGTTCTCATCATGTGAGCGACTATAACTGCATTACTATTTATTACGGCGGAGTGCCCTGCTAAATAATCTTAAAAAAATACAACTCATAACACGAGGAGGTATTTGTCCTATGGTTATCCCGTTTTCTATTGTTCCCAATCATTTCTCAATGTACACCTCAAAAAGGTGGTTTTATATCTATAAATATATCATAGGGTGCTTTTATCATGTGTAGTATTCGGAAGTCTTCAAGTACGTATACCAGCCTTCAAGCTCAAGTCTATGGTGCAGGAAGCGAGCCTGCAAGTACTGCATAAAGCTGCAGTACCTGCTCAAAGTAGTTCAGCAACCTCCAGTAAAAATCTAATTCCTTCAGCAACCCGTTATTTTATTCGGAAATCAATAAATTATAAATATGGACTGGGAGAATCGAGATATTGATATAGTATTTTATGGTTTATGAGGGAAACGCTTTTATGATTGCGTTCAACTGAAATATTTTAATACACAGTTGGTTTTAACAACCTCCTGCCTCAGCATAGTCTGCACTGAACATTATATATTTTCGGCCACTTTTTCGCCCTTACTTGAAATCAGGAACGTCTAATATTTCTGTACTCCAATAATGGCAGTTATGCTACTAAAGTCATGGCTGGGGCGCAGTAAATTAAAAAAAAGGAAATATATTGCCATATATCTTTGCTTGGCCTTATAGGGCACAATATGAACCTTGATTTGTTAAAATGAAAAGATTGAAGATAATTATCTTTTTGAAATGAGTTTCGAAAATTGCATAATGAATGCCCCTGACTCTATTTGAGTCACTTTTTGGAAAGGATGAACGTCTTCACTTTTGATGAAAACTTGCACGGGTTTTAAAATGCTAATTCATAAGAAAAAAACTTCAGGTTTTTGCATCTTTAATTTTGAGTTACAAAGGTCTGAATTTGGACAGTTTCCCATTATACGTCGTAGTCATTTTTTTCACGAATAAAAATGCTTTTAAACAACAAAAATGTTTACCTTATTTTGCTGCATCCCCGGTCTCTGCACAAACTATATTAAACTCAAAGCAATAAACAAACGCGCGCGCGCGCGCGCGCGCGCGCGTGTGTGTGTGTGTGTGTGTGTTTGTTTGTTTGTTTGTGTATGTGTGTGTGTGTTTAGCTATCCAAAATGACGACTCCGTGCAAATAGCGAAATGCGCATTTAACCGACAACGACTTTCGCCTTTTGTTAAAAAATAAATTATATATATATATATATATATATATATATATATTGTTTCTAAATGTTTGGAGACTTTTTTTTCGCGCAAGCAACAAAATAATTTTTGTGAGAATTACACATGTCGACGGGACATAGTTGCAAAAAAAAAAAAAAAGATTAAGTTTGTTTGGTCTGTTCGATGCCCTTTAAGAAAGCGATCGCTAACTCACTTCGCCTTATTTACATAATGAGCCTGGCAGATCGCCACGAGAAGCGGCCGCCGAAATTCAAAAGGTAGAGCGGTAGGCAACGGCTGAGAGGAGAGCCACGTGACGGGCACCTCGCTGCGGCGAGACGCCGAAACACACTTTTCTCGAGCGATGGAATGTCCGCTCGTGCTTCTCGCGTTCCTCGCGCTACCGCTTTTTTCTCGTCGGGTTTGAAAACCATGTTTCGGGTCCTCGCCACTACAAAAGCTGCGCGCTGACGTCCAGGTTCCCCTAGAAATGCTGTGTGCTACCAGATCCTCGCGCTCCAAATCTGCGACCGGAATTTTATGGCTCCGTCGTCGAACTGCCAGGCTTTGTGAGTATGAAGGAGGCTATGCCATAACTTAAAAAAAAAGACTGAACCTGGAAAAAAAAACAAAAAAAAAAACCTTCCTATTGTTTAGGGAAGGCATCGCTCAAAATTAAGATTCGTCGAACAAAAAAACTTGTTTCCCCAATGTTTAAAAAAAAAAAAAAAACTTGTTTTCCCCAACTGTTTTTAGATGATTGTACTGCTTGACATGATTATGCTGATGATGATGATGATTATGATGATGATGATAGAGTTTCTTCCTAACTAGTCTGCGCTATGAGGTTCAGCGAACTCAGAGCGCACATTAGTTGACGGGCGCTCTGATCATCATCGCACAGGGGTACAATTTTGGTTTCGCCCGCAAAGCGAAATATTTGTATTCTAGTATATATATTTAAAAAAAAAACACATTCATTTTACACCAACATTTACTTTTAGATTTGCCTGCCCTGACCAGGTAAAACAAAATCTTTCCCTAGGTTCAGTGTCCTTTTAAACACATACAAAGATCAACTAGTTACCCTTTCCTGACGTTTTCTGGTACTTTAATACTGAACGGGATCTCGGATAATAAAACTGACACAAAAATGGTGAAGTAATCTTTTCTCAAAATAGAGCATTTAATATTAATTGTTTGTTTAGTTATACGTAAGGAAGGATAGAAATGTGAAGTCATTACCTCCTTCCGTGCACAGTGTGGTATAGGTAACACCTCAAATGAGAATTAATGTGGCGTCGCAAGTCATATTTAAGCAACACTATTCAACTGTATCTAGACCTCACTACAAATGCTACTCATGCCAAAAAGGGTACTTCTTGCGTAATGCACCCTTAGTATTCCTTCTGTCATGAAAGGCACGAATAACACCGGCGTGTTCTACTTAGTCTTAGCGTATGCTTGCTTTATAGAAACAAAGGTGATATGTCGCAGAATTTTTTGAGGTTCATGACCTGTTCTTCGGATGAGTTTTGAAAGGCTGTGGACGTTTGTGTCCCATTCTTTTGTCGAATATAAAAGAGTACCTCTAAGTAAGCTTAAAAATGAATACGAACATCATATGTGGTAACGACAAAAAGGGACTTATTGTGTGATAAAGATATTTCTAAAATGTAAAAAATAACACCTCTGACGTTTCGTACATGAAACATATTATACCACTGTTTTAGTTTTGAATGATCAAGTTTTGCTTTTTGATAGCAGGTATTTATATCAATGAATTTCTGTTACTCAGATGAACGGAAAGGAGCTTGAAGCAAACATGTATCACGATCGAGCCCGAATGGCGTCAGTTACCTTAGAAGAAAAGGAAGGCAGAGTTGAAGTGGTACGCAGCTTCTTTCATTCACTGTGTGTTAAACAACGATCCAGCAGAATCAATGGGCTTTCCAGATGACACAATTCAACCGATGACTTGATTAGAGATTCTAACAAAAGTTCTTAAACTAAAAGTTTAGTGGCTGTAAGGGAGACTGGAATTTAAAACATAATAGACGTGAGTTAGCTTTATTCGAAAATAACAATCAGATGTAGATCCAACAAAAATTCCGTACGACATGTTTTAATCTGGCGTTTTCCGAAATATTTTTATTTCCAAGTCGAAGTAATATTTTTGTTGTCTGCATGTCCTCAATGAAAATAATTATATGAGTGCGTCCAATGACTATCCAAAAACGCAAGATTTTATAAAAACTTATCTTGATTTAATAATCTTGGAGATGATTATTAAATCTGGAGTATAAGAGCACTCTCTCGAACAAAAGTTTGATTTGGTATTGATCAATCGAATGGAGTAAAAATCAGCATCGCTCAATCCTCGTGCAGAATTTACTGCACTGATGAACTAGATGAGAAGATACAAGCACGGATGTAAGGGAAAGGTCAAGCGACTATGTGGTTTTAAACGCCACTCCCAGGCACCACATTACTATGGGCCAATGTCAGCTCAAAGAAAAGGGCTAAATATAAAAAAAGTTGAAATAAGAATTAAAATAGAAATGTTCTCGGACCAGTTAAATGTTAGACATATGGCATGCGCGCTTCCTTGTATTTTATATTCTCTTCGCTTTTTGGTGTTTAATCTCCAATGACTTACTCCTCTCCTGATTGTAAACAATATATCTTTTTTTAATATTGAAAAAAAAAACTCATTTCTGCCTTACGAATGCCAAACCTTATCTACGATACGGCTTTATTACTGTATTTTTTTTTTCTGCAGAAAGGAATTGTTAGCGAGACGCTAAGAATTGCCCCTCTTCCTCTAAGTGCCCGATCAGAAGACGGTCATATTCCCCACGAATTACTTCAACTGGATCAACGTCACCAAGGTAGAGGCAGATTTCAAGGTAGGAGTGTTGAAATCACGTACGATGTTGGCATATAAATCAAATGTTGAAACAAAAACTATTTCGATTGAATGTTCCTTGTGTGTGTGTTCTTGTGTCTTTTTACCTGATCCAAAAATTATACAAATAATTATTATATATTCGTATTATTATCATTATCTTAATAATAATAATAATAATAATAGTAATTTATTTGTCAATGTACTGTATGTCCACTGCACAACGCATGTTCATCAAAGCCTTCTTGAAAATGCTTGTGTGACTAAAACAAAGTTGCGGGTAGAATATTATAAGAATCTAAAACAAAAGTTGTGTAATAAACAAACTTTCAAACTTGAACTGTTTTTACAGCAGATTCAGTCAGCAGTACCAGGAAAATCTTTAAATTTTCATAAAAAACACGATATTAAATTCTTAAAATCCGGTCATGTCTCTTAACACCACTGAATTGTTTCTCAAAAAGTTATGGTGTAGGTCGTTCACTCATGGAGTATGAGGTACTCAATGTGAAAAATAAATCACAAAATCATTATTGAAAGAAAAGACAAAAGAGGACACTTAAGAAAGCTTACGTGTAAGAATGCGAAACATTCCTACAAACACCGTTTTCCTACAAGCAGCGCACCACGCCTTCCCTTTTCACACGGCGCTCTGGTGGTGACATCACGCTCCCCTACTGCGCAGGCGCGGCGAACCCCGCGGGCTACACGGCTCCCGTGACGATGCATGTGCATTGATGTGCTTTTCTTTGTGTTATTTTATTTCTGAAGTGCGTCCGCTTTCGCCTCGTGCAGACCCACCATCTTCGGTGACGAAGCGTTGCAGTGCTTTTGGCCAATAGGAATTGAACTGACTTTGCGCTGGTCAATGGGAACTCAACTGCCGTTTCGTTGCTACAGATGGTTACAGACAACGCCGGCTTCGCTCCATAGGTCAGTTAATGCTTTCGAATCACAAATACAGAGCAGCATTTGACACTATTGAATTATATTACAGAGAAATACTTGGTTTAGAAAACACATCTTGTGACAACATTATTGATACGCAAAAGGAACAAAATAAAAGAAAGTACTCCAAAAGTGGTTATAAAAATAAAAATAATTCAGACAAGAAGCTGCAAATGCTTAGAGAAACATATCGGTGGATGGAAGATGGCGAAGCAATTTACTAAGCTTTTTTAAGGGTGAAGTCAGGAAAATTAGAATGGAAGAATTTAAAGTTTGAGGAACGAAGAAAGACAGACGGTTCTTGCCATGACGAGTGTAACATGCATGTTCGAAAAATCGTGAAACCGTTCGTAGTCCTCGCATGTTCAGAAGAAATGTGTTAAAGTCGTCATTCCAGTAGTGCTCAAGCACTACCGTTTCAACAAACAGAGATTCAAAGTTGAACATAGATAATATTTGAAACATATCCAGAGAGGAAGTAGCAGGATTCTAATAAACTTTCCGCAGCATTCCTTTTGAGAATTGTATTTACATTCGACATTCATATTTCAGAGCATTTTCCAAAAAAGGTAATGCCATTCCGTAGAGTACAATATGCTGATGAGTAAGGTATGAGCTTTCGAGGATTAAATAGACGAAACGTCTTGATGTTATGCATTAATCAAGAAACGCTTCTTGGCATAGAAAAGAGTTGAGTGAGGTGCGAAATACAAAAAAAAGATATCAGAACTAAAATTAATACCTAGATACGTCACGGTGATTGAGAAAACAATTGGAGTACACTCAAAGGTGACACAATGTTACGTGTGAAGCTAAACAATAATATCTAGGTCACCAACTTAAAGGGGATTGTGAAAACATACTAACTTTTTTTAAAATATTGATATCTATAAAATTGTTGGCGAACCAGTTAATTAATTCTAGGGAACTTTCCTAGAGCATTCCCATAAGACTTGAATGCGAGAGATGTCTTGTTAACAAAAATAATGTCGTTTGTGTATTTAAAAAGAGTACAATTTGAAACTGGGTAGACGGGGCATTGACGTAGATATAAAATAAAATAATAAATGTGAAAGAAACGAGCTTTGAGGAACACCAGCTTTTAAAGAAACGTTGGAGATATGTGTCCCGTTGATTGAAACCTGCTGTGACCGATCTTGAAGAAAATTGGTTAGCAAAGTAAAACAAAGGACGCTGGAAACCAACAGGACAAGGTTCTTGTAACAAACTAAAATGGCTCACAATGTCAAACACTTCATTTAGATCGAGAAAGCAGGCACAAATAAACAGATTATGCTAAAAACCTAAATTCAAGTCGCCAGCTAGTGATTCAAGAAGGGGATGTGTCCCACGTCAAGGACGAAACAGTATTTGGTGGGGGACAATAGGTTATATTAGTCTGCAAAAGAAGAAATAGGAATTATTTAAATTTTTTTATATATTTTACCAAGGCGTGGTAAACCGATATTGATTAGAAAAATAATAATTATTATAATCATAATAGTACTCTATTAGAAAAACCAGCATGAAAATCAAACTGGTCAAGCTGGTAACTAAGCTGGGCAAACTGGTCAATGTAGTAGTCAAACTGGTTTAACTGGCAATCAAGCTGGTTTAAACTGGCAAGCCATAATTTAAGCTGGTCAGTCTGGTTTTAGTAAAAACCAGCATGGTCTGACTACAATTTCGTTTTAGGTTCAATCTGGTGTAGCTGGGAGCCAGTCTTGTGCTAACTGGTCAAACTGGTTTTCTATGGAGCCGATGTGGTCTAGCTGGGGGACAAGCTGGTTAAGGTGGGTGACAAGCTCGTGAAGCTGGTCGAATTCATATTCGTGGCGGCCAAGCTGGTCTTGCAGGGAGCGCGCACGCCAAGGTCGGCTAGAGATGGTCGAACTGGCATTGCTGGGAGCGCGCGCGCCAAGGTCGGCTTAATTTGGAAAGAGGCCACGTCCTGATCTTTGTCCTCTCGTTTTTGGTAGACGACCGGGCGCTTCACGCGCGCTGCGAGCTGCCTTTGTATGCGAGAAACGAGAGAGAGAGGGGTAGGAACGGAGAATTTGGGACACGTTTGGTTAGGTTGTGCAGATTTTCGAAGGCACGGCTGTATGCGCGTTGTTTGGAGACTAGAACGACGCTGCAAGCGAAGTGGGTTTTGGGGAGACATCGAGCGGCAGTCCGCTTAGTGCGGGAAGACGTCGGACGTCCCGACTGAAGCGTCGCTTCGTGTCTTCGAACGTGTGTGTGCTCGTAAATGACGGTGGTGCCGAAGAGTATGGCCAATTCCATCCAAGCTACACGGATTTCCTCGTCTCTGCTGACCACGCAAGAGGCCGCTTCACCCCCCTCACTGGCGGGACCCAGGTTTGCTTCTCTCATCCGTGTAGTATATTTTTTTTTGTTATGGCCTGTTTTTGGAGTGTGTCTAGTGTTTTTCGTGTTGAGAGATACGCAATCCGGTTTTATTAATATTGTTTTCTTTGCACCGAGAGCCTCTGCCTGTGCGTCGGTTAGTACTGTGCCAGCGCCAAGGATATGTAGCAAATGAGCTCATGTGAGCAGGCCGCAAGTACGTAAATAATAAATTGGATGCCGAGTTGACTTTTCTGAAGAGCTTGGCTTGTTTCTCCTGCGCATTATTTTAAACACGTTAAACTGGTTGCAAAGTCCACTAGCATGACCAGCATGCCAAACTAGAAATGCTGGGGCAATAACCCAGCTTGAAGCTGGGACCAGATCAAGCAGCATGACCAACATGCCAAACTGGGCATTCTGGGGCAATAACCCAGCTTGAAGCTGGGACCAGCCTAAGCTGTTTTTTAAATAGCGTAATATTATCAACAATAATAATATAATAATAGTAATATTATTATTATTATTATTAATAACAATAATAAAAATGCCTAATGTTTATAGCGCCCACAAAATATATAGGTATGCTATGTGCTGCACAAATACAATAAGTTCAAACACGAAAATCTAGTTCCTAAACTAGATCATGAAGTTCAAGCAAAAAAAAAGCTGACTCTATTTAAAACAAATTCTACATAGTTAACATCCCTTGTGCATATACTATCATAAAACTAAGGTCCTGGAGACCAGTAACATAGCAAGATCGTATCATTGTACTATATTATAAAGTCGGACAAGCTGTGTTTAAAACCGGACACAGAAAGCTGCTTTATTAGTGCGAAAACATTAACTGTACCATAGAGCGAGTCGACGTCATCAGCCTTGAAGCCGCACAAAAAGCCACGTCAATCAGCAGCTAAATTCCTCTCTCCCAATGGAACGTAGTGAAGCAACGACCTGAAGCCGCGCAAAGAGCCACTGAAAACGGCAGCGAAATGAAGCCGAAATCTCAAGGAGTGTGCCCCCGCACGTCAGTTTCAAGAAGTGCCACACTTAGGCGCTGTGTGCCCCTCGCCGCCAGGGTGCCTCCACACACTTTCGCCACGCCTGTCTTAGGGTGGCGGCATCTCGGCCATTTCTATGCCCAGAATGCACGCGCTTCGATCTCGTTCGGAGCGAGCGCTTAGCCCTGCCCGGTGCTTTGGCGCCATTTTAAGGCCCATTCGGCACGCGCAGGCAGTTTTTAATACAACACTGGGTGTCTTCACCCTATGACAGGCGCACATTGAGGCACCCTACTCGCCGCCAGCGCGCCGGTAAAAGGAATCGGCTGGCGGCGGGGCAGCCCGCTTGTGCAGACTCACAAGGAGCGGCATGGCCGATGTCAACGCAGCGCGGCCACTTCACGAGGACGCCTCCAATAACGACATTCATGCTTTCGCATTCACAACTCATTAAAGGTGTTTAGGTGCACCTCGAGCTTTTTTATTCGCGCATTTTATACTTAACATTTTCCTTGATCGGCTTCCATAAGAAGAGATAAAAAAACGACAACTTTGTGCTGCACTGTTCGCAATCCCTTTTTCCCAACAGAGAACTTGTTTTGCGGCAGATAGTTTAAATTATTAAGATGCCACTTACAATCTAAATTACATTAATCAGAATATGTATTCCTCACTCCAGACTTTTTTTCCAGCATACACTTGTTTGAAACTACCGGGTGCTTGTGAGAAACCCGAACCCGGCTTTTCGCACCGCAAAGATAGACTGGCCATTACGGGGAGCTCCAGCTCCGCCAAATTTTAGGCCCAGCCGTTCGAGCAAAATGCCAAAGTTTCAGCACCAACGGTTGTCTTATTCAAAAGCTGTAAGCGATTTTCTGGAAATTTCAATGGAAAAATGGATGCCGACGGAGCTTTCGAATACATGGACCTCCATGCCACCGGAAACCGCAAACGGGCGAAAATGAGCCCCATTTTCCAATTAAAAATTTGAAAAATCCCTTATAACTTTTGAATAATATAACGGTCGGTGCTGAAACTTTGCTACGCTGTTCGAACGGCTGGGGTTACGTTCTGTCGGAGTTCAAGCACCCTATGCAAATGGAGCATTTTAATTCTATAGTATTTCGATGGCTTTTCTTACAGCTCGTTCAGGACTTCAGCGCAATAATATTTTTCATGCAGAACTGAAAATTGTGGTCGATGATAATCACCGAAGTGCCTTCGGATCCGATCAAGATTTAGTAGAATATTTAGCGACCTGTATGAAACTGGTAATGTATGTGTCTCTTAAATATTTAGATGCATGTGACAAGTTGCATTGATGAAGACCTAAAAAGTCAGGTTTACGTCTCATTAGACGGTGTATCATTTTGAGCTTACAATTTGCAGAAAAAAAAAGAAACGTGAAATATACATTAAGCAGGTTGTACAGGTGAGGAGTTACAGCCCACGGGGAAAGGGTGGGGGGGGGGGGGGGGGGAGCATTATATGGAGGGCTAATTATTGCACGAAAAAAAAACAACAGAAATTTAAAAATACTTCATTAACTTTTTACTAGTGAACATAAACATGATAAAACACCAGATAAATAAACAAGCGAGGTGGTTAACGTTACACATGATTCTAACCGGGGACGACGGACGATAAGAGGGACAAGAAATCAATCTATCGTTTTAAATAAAAAAAAAAAATCGTTTCAAATAGAAACTGGATTTGCGTCATCGAAAGCCACTAAATCAGTCAATAATAGATATTTGCTACGCGTGCTTCGTTTCTCTGGGCGTTTAAAATTAAAAAAAAAAATCGCACTGATCGCGCGTTCTTTTATGTTGCTTAACATTCCTGTTTTAACACCGCCAGCCTTGCACCCCAATCACCGGTCGTAATTTTAGCACCACCGCGCTTCCCATGCACTCCAAGTCGATCTCAAATTAATTCATTTAGTGCTTCTTGATGACGCTATTGTGTTTCTAATTTGAATTATATATTTATTATAGTCAATAAAATGATAAATACATTTTAATTAATATTGGTCTTATCGGGGCGATTAGATCTTTATTTAACAACTACATCCGTTCCAGACCAATCCGTTGTGCAGTTTCTGCACTCCTCCAGATGCTTAGCCAACTACGAATTTGCTGCATTATTTTTAACATTCCTTTTGTGTTCTGTTAAACGATCGTTCAAACACCGAGAGGTTTGGCCTACATACTTAAAACCACACGCCAAAGGAACCTCATACACAAAGCCTACGCTACACGCACCGACTTTTCCCTATGCGCCTTCTGACAGCCCCTCTGAACCGTTTCAAAAGGTCTCAATCTATCTAACCTAAAATCCGTGCTGAATACGACATCCACGCCATATTTTTTTGCACATGCTCTAAGATTGTGGCACACCTCGTGAAAATACGGAACCACAGCGTACCTATTCCTGATTTCTTGCGTCTTCCCCTTTTTCTCCCTGCACTGTAGGGCAATCTGCCTTTTGATGTACTCTTCCCCATAGCCTGCCCTTACCACTCTTTCCCACTGTTTTTTTTAGTTTGCTCTGTTCAGGAAGGGTTGGACCAAGTTTTGGAACAAGTAGTAAGGTCAGCGGCGCCAGAGTTGAGATTCACGTTAGAGAGGCCAAGGGGCGAGGTCCTGCAATTTCTCGACCTGCGTTTGCATTTGGAACGAGGTCTTTGTTGGGAGTATGGGAAGGAAAACCCAAAACCAGTTCTGTCAAAGAGTAGCTGTCACTCGAAAAATGTAAAAGTCGGGGTAGTCAGATCTTTGATTAGTAATGCTTTGGTGAGATCATGCATGCATTTCGGACCGGAGGCACTAAAAAACCAGTGGGAAAGACTGGTAATGGCAGGCTATGGGGAAGAGTACATCAAAAGGCAGATTGCCCTACAGTGCAGGGAGAAAAAGGGGAAGACGCAAGAAATCAGGAATAGGTACGCTGTGGTTCCGTATTTTCACGAGGTGTGCCACAATCTTAGAGCATGTGCAAAAATATATGGCGTGGATGTCGTATTCAGCACGGAGTTTAGGTTAGATAGATTGACACCTTTTGAAACGGTTCAGAGGGGCTGTCAGAAGGCGCATAGGGAAAAGTCGGTGAGTGTAGCGTAGGCTTTGTGTATGAGGTTCCTTTGGCGTGTGGTTTTAAGTATGTAGACCAAACCTCTCGGTGTTTGAACGATCGTTTAACAGAACACAAAAGGAATGTTAAAAATAATGCAGCAAATTCGGAGTTGGCTAAGCATCTGGAGGAGTGTAGATCTTTATGTTCCGTCCCGGTGGACGTATAACTCACTTGTACAATTCGCATTAGTGTACCTTTCACAGTTTTTTTAATACCTTAAGCCTAATATCAGACACCGTATGTTTCCTTTTTCTGCGTATGTTCAAATTTGTGAGTTTGTGCATAAATATTCTTCAGAGCCACTGCTTGTTCAATTTTAATTTGCGTTTTGTTAGTGTTGTACTTTGTAAAGGAACCCAATCTTCACGCATACTATTCCGGACTGTCGGGGAGGAAGCATTACTCCTTCCGTGGACGATCATGTTATAACAGTAATGTAGTGCAAATATCTTTGAAGCTAAACATCGTACTTATATCCAGATCCACACACTTAAAGCTTACGTGTTTGCGGCATCGCTTGAGTGTGATTTGATTGTCGTCAGCAACAGCCTGGTTGGGGCTTAGACACTGTGCTGTGTATCCGCAAGTAAGGCTGAGCAACAACACGTTCCGCGCATTCGATACATGGAGATATAATTCAATGCGGAGGGAAAGTCGTATTCTTCTTACGCAGAAGTCGCAGTGATGTCAGAGCGACGCCGGGCTCAGATTGATTTTAACTGAAACGATAGTGGGTAGACCGAAATGCTTGAAGCCTTGATGTCTACCCACTATTTTTGTTTTTCAATTAGCCAATACGAGCTCGGCATTCTGACATCATCTGAACCCCTGTGCAAGAAGCAGACGAACTTCCGCCTACGTAGGTTTACTAAAATCCTAAAACCACGCGTACATGGACTGGAGCTCGCGCTGCGTTACCGCCAGTAGGGCAGTAGCACTGTAATCATCTAAAATGGAAAAGCCAATAACTACATTTTTATTCATGGAAAATGCTAGCTGAGTTTATTGTAACTCGTTGCCAATTGCAGGCTTGCTAAGGATTTCAATGCATTAAATTTCGCAGGTAAACATTCGGTATGAAGACACATCAGATCCAATGGTCCAGTTCCTGCTAACCACAGTTGAAGTAGCGGTACGTGAGGATTGCGTTTATTATTTTACTGTAGTCACTGACTTCAAACAATAACTTCATTTTTGTTGCGATTTCTAGGATCCTCGTTTTGATGAGGTGTTCTCCAGCTATGATGTGGAATGCCCAAGCCGTTCAACCAAAACTTACATGGACCCAGTCAGGATGATTAACAAAACTGTAGAGTTGTATGGAAACAGTAGCGAGGATATTACAGTTTTCGTCACATCGTAAGTCAAATATTGTCCTATTCTCTTTCAACGAAGACCGAAAGAAGTAGATATATCGGTGTATTGTAGACGAAGTTTCTAAACTGATGCAATGAGGATCCAATAGGTCAAGAAATTTCTCAGCAATATTAAAATAAACAGGCTGCGCTGGCGTTTTGTGAGTTTATATATGGGCCAGATATGTAGAATATTTGTTTATTAATGTAAACTTTTTTCACTAGTTTCAGTAAAGGTTCAACAATAGCATAAACGCAATGGATGTCAGACGCGTAGACCATATTTACTCTAAATGATGTGAAAACGTGAGAAGTTTTAAGTCCGGGTTGGGATATCTTCTTAAGATTGTCCGTCTAACGTCATGAAGCAGGAAATATATCTGCACTGTTAGCCATTTGTGAAGCGCAGTCAAGCGCCATCGACGGTTTCCATAATATGGTCACTGCTTACAGCCAGATCCGTGCAACTAATCCCGAGTTGTTGTCAATAAAATTTACCGTATCGCATATGTGGGCGGCGAGCTCGTGATATGAGCCGCCCACCCTGTGAATGGGATACGAGATAAAGAGAAAGAAGAAATAATTTTGTTTTGAGCCCGGCTGAGAAAGACGTCGTTTCCTTCACCGACGGGTCCCAGCTATGGATTACGCCATGACCCACGCGAGGTAGCCCAAGCGCGTAAGTCCTCATCATCAGACCAGGCGGCCGCGACGAGCCCTGGTCTCTCAGATACAACACGAGTCACAGCTGAACGCCGACGCAAAACTCGTTTTCATCATGCTATGTGTCTGCGGGGGGATCGTAGCCTCGGAGAATTGTGAAAGCAGCAAAATACTTCGTTTTACATGAAGTCCAGACGCAGCCGACGCTAGGAGCTGAGGGGGCCAATCAGACAGCGTCAAAAGCTCGCCGTCATCCTGACCGTCGTCATGTTTCTGTATAGGTCCTATCATCGCCGAAAATATTTTAAACAGAAAAAGCCCGGACACTAGCTGTTTCAACGCAGCATTATTGGTCTTACTAGCTCGTAGCCAGACTTGTACAGGTTCCTAAAATGTAAGAAATAACATTTAGCCTTGGGTAATTTACAATTACCCATGGCTAAATTGTAACTAATTAGAAACACAATAACACTCCATAAAAGTGAGTGACCATTTCTTCAGAAAGTAATTCGTTACTTTCGCGGCGTCACTTTTAACCTTAGAGTCATGAGATAAGACGAAACAGAAGCATTGTGATAGCATTTGTTGCCTGCCGCCATTTACATTCTTCTTACCTTGAGGAACATATGCCTCTGAAAAGTCTCATCGGATACTTTCCCTCGTTTCAATGTGAAGGTATCGTCCGCCGCGTTGTGCACCTTTCCAGTTCACCTTCTTTCCAAGTAGGTGCTGCCCCCTGAACGCGCGACGGATTGGATAGAAAACAACGCGTCCGCAAAGCCTCTACTACCCATACGACACTCAAAACGTCACCTATATCCGCTTCGCCCAGTGATATGCTGTGACCTAGACACGGCTCCCCCAAGCATCGCTTTTGTCGCCAGTGTGAATTATCTTCGTCCCTGAAATCTATACAAAGAGTCATGCTGTCTCTCTTTCTCTCTCTCTCTCTTAAACAGGAGGTAGCAAAAAAAAAAAAAAGGTGAAGGGACAAAAGGAGAAGGCGCGCTCAGATCCGCTAGCTGCTCCCGTGCACTTTGATCGGTCTATCTCTCTCTCGAAAAAAAAATAATTCTTTTATTTTTGGAGTTCACCTAACATTGCTTCCACGCAGCATCCATAGCTTTGTATCAGTGTGCTTTGTTCTTCATTGTGGGCGAGCAAGTCGACGAGTTACGATTTGCAAGCAACCAAGCAAAAAAAAAAAAAAAAAGGTTGGAGTCGAGATTTAGTTTGTCGTGAAGAAAGGATTTCAGCATCTCAAGAATCCCACACACAGAACTTACAGAACTCACTTGCAACCGAGTCGGACCTACTGAGACGAGACCATTTTTTAAACCTCTTGCGACGGATTAGGACCGGATGCACTGCTGCGGAGCTGGTCCTAAGCCGTTGCAAGACGCTTAAAAACCGATCTTGTCTCAGTCGGTCCCCCTTAGTTGCAAGTGTGCGAACGAGAATTTACGCAAACACTTACCTACAAAATATCATAACGAACTTTTTTGTAAAAAATTACAATTAACGTCCTCAGGCTTGGCGTCGTACATGCATAAGCTGCACCTTCAGCTCTCTCAACCTGACTTTATAGCACTGCACTTTAAGGACCCTTGTAATGTTCTCAACGTCACTCTCAAAGAAGGCATGAAACTGGTTGAGTTCGGGGCTGTTCAGGACTTTGTCGTCCACTTCCCTGCCCTCCTGAAAAGTTCGTGAGAGATACGGCGTAAGTTCAACGTGCTTTGTCGGTCCATAAATCTTGAACCGAAGTGCCCGTCCACTTTCAGCCACTCACGGTGGTTTTCTTTTTACGAGTCACTCGCTGATGTGTTGAGTTACTGGCGCCCAATTTCGTCCTTTCTGAAAAGTAGTGATGCAGTTGGCGAGAAGTGCAGGAAACTCAGAGTACTTGTCTCAGATCCCCAGTCTTCACCGGAACTTCTCATCAAAATGACTTTTATCCACGACTTATCGAGTTCGCTATTCGCTATCATGAAGGTTCTTGAGTCCGAGGAAACTCTGGTGGACAAGGTGTCTTCTCTTGTCGGCATAAAACTCGCAGCTTTGTTGAAAAGATGAAATAGCATGCCAACAGATAGCTATGGCTGTGTTTACCTACTTTTGAACATGACTGAAGAGGCCCTAAGGTCAAAGCTTGTTGATTCCTTCTCTGCCTACTATCAGATGATTCAAGGAAAGTGGTTTAGGACTGTTTCCCGAAACATATCTGATGACTTAGATTCCATGGACGAATCGTCGTTCTAGTTCCGCGTGCAAGTTGTTCATCCGTGCATAAAAGTGGAGCTGCCAGAGCGATATGTGCCTTATGAAAGTATCTATCGGCTGGTCCTCCGAGACGAGCGCAAGCTGATTAACCTAGAAGAAGAGTTTCTTTGTTACCGCCAGAATGCTGTGACTAGCACCGTTGATCCAGTGTTATTTTGGAGATTTCATTTACCTGAATGGCCACTACTATCTCAAGCCTCGCTAAACATTTTGGGATTTCCTGTGTCCAGCGCAAATGTGGAGCATGCGTTTTCAAAATTGTGGGTTGTGAACCGCAGGGAACGTGCTGCCATGACGAATGCAAGCTTCTTGAAGTATGTTTGCATCTACTATAATAGCCAAGTGTGAGAAACAGGTGATTCCTCGAGAAGAAGTGTATGAAATAGGTGAATATTATTGGAACTCTCTGTCTGTGATCAATCGTTTTTTTTTTCCACCGATAATCACCAATGTTAGCCTCGTCCTGAGACGTTCCACCGAAATACACCGGCGTTTCGAAAATAAATAAACACCGAAAAACATCCTCCGATTTTTCTCACGAATAAAAACCGGAAAGTACACACCCTAACGATAACGTGAGGACGAGGCTCAAATGTCGTGTAGAAAAAGTACACGCTGCACGCGCCCCAGCGTACGTTCCTCTGCTTTTGAGCGAGGCGCCGCTATTTGCTAAATTCAGTCCCGTGAGAAGCAGACTCCGAATGCCGTGCACGAAAGCCAGCGCTACGGAGATGAACGCACAACTCTGGCTCCCGTAGGAGCCTCTACAGAAAAGGCTGGTTCAGACATGTGCAACGAGCGCGATGCGTCCGTTGCAACCGGAGCGGCCGGAACGACTGTTCTGCACCGCGCGTACACACACATGCAACCACTGCAACAAGCGCAGCGGGTCGTCAGCACGGCGACCGCTTCTACGACGCCGTCAGTTGTTGCAGGGGTGCCTCTAAAAAGGGGACGCACTGCCACTCAATGCCGTAACAGAATATAGACAGACAGTTTTCTATAGCCTAAAGCTTTATTGTTATTTTTTTTTCATGATAGGCTTGCAAGGTACAGCGGATGAAAAAAAGAAAAGAAAAAGATGCGGTACGCCGTCTTGGATAATCACGACTCTAATACACGACTTTGCCAGTAGTACAAATCTCGCCACACGCCCTTTCTACGATTATAAAATTTGATGTAATCTTATCAGCGACATATCAACGTGGAAATGTGATCTCGTGATCAGATAGATGTTGCGAGCGTTCAGGATTGCCAACACTTATCATTTTTCGGCAAAGAAAACGCGTGAAAATTCGCATCCTTTATACGGTACGCGCCAGTAATACCTTGAACTTGAGCACACGCATCGAATGCGCCAAATAAAAAATCCGGGCGATGTTCGAGGACACAAATGCTTAGAAAGCACCACTGTAGTCGAAGCAAACAAACACGACGGCACGGGCGTTTCTGCTGTCTTGAGAGTTGCGCCACAACATCGCCGCACGTGTAGGTGGATCTTTCCTTCTAGTACGTGCTGGGTTATCATAGCGACACACGAAAAAAATTCCCAGTCAAGGATAGCGCTTTTACGCGGAACGATGAGCTTTCACCACGTCGTTCACGTCGACGATCACCACCGACGCCATGTTGGCAGATAGAAGGAGCCGGCCCGCGACCGGCATGCAACGCGCGCGACCAGTTTTCCTCGACCTGTGATTGGTCTGTCGTTGCGGTTGTTTTGGTTGTTTTCAACAAAGCAGGGAAAGTTGGGCTCGCTCCAACTCCTGGTGTCGTGAACGACACGTGCGTGCGTCCCTCCGCCGCTATGGCAACTGACGGTTGCAGACCCTTGCAACGGTTGTTTCGGTTGTTCCAGTCGTTACGGTCGCTACGGACGCATGTTTGTGAACGGGCCTAAACTCTCGTGCTACAGCGCGCCGGTAAGAGGAAGCGGCTGGCTGCGGGGCGGTGGGGCTTCCCAGAGCCCGCTTGGGCAGATTCCGGAGCGGCTGTACGGCCGATGTCAGCGCGGCGCGGCCACTTCACGAGAGCGCGCGCTCGGCCTTCGGCCGCAAGCTCGGTAGTAGCGATATGTGGCCGTCCACGCCAGTACACAGAACACGAACTAAGCGAGCGGAAGAACGACATTCATGCTCTCGCATTCAGAACTCATAAGAAGTGCTTAGGTGTCCCTTTAGTTTTTTTTTCAAATGTGTCTTTTATAAAGCTTTCAAGTGTTTATAGCCCGCGTTTACATCTTATGATGATTCTCCCCTAGTTTCCATATGACGTTTTGAGTAGAAACACCAAGGATAGCCCGATACTGTCAAATTAATGGGCCCAAAAACCGCTAAATGACTAACGAGAGTAATAGTTTTCTGGTTAATTCAAAGTAATTTGCTCAGTGGGCCGTGCAACAATATTAAGTAGGAATATTTCTCATTTTTCACAAGCTTACTGATCCTAGTGGGACACAAACATATTCGAGCGCAACGTCACTGGTGTATAATCTGGCATAAAACACTGGCGTAAAGCACAAAGCACTTGAACTGGCATAAAGCATACAAGCTTAAGTTTTCTTTCAGTCTCTTCGCAAAACTTGACGACGAATTTCTGGAGATCGCACAGTTGGTGCTGTCAATAATGCGACCCCAGAATTTTGTCATCAAGCTCTGCGATCCCCGCAGTGACAATATAAAAATTCGGCTCATTCCGGAACTGCTTGAACATTGGGTTTGGGTTCGAGACAATCAATGGCTTTACTTGCGTTCAACTAGTGACTCGTGCCCAATCGCTGAGACAACGGGAGCCTTAACAAGGCATCGAACTCAGCGCGTGCCCTGTGCTTTGTCAACCCCAGAGCGTAGGTATGAGAAACATTGGCGGAATATGACTGGCTCCACATCACGGGGCAGCCTGTGCTGGATGCCGATTGAGGGCGTGAATGTTTCAGTACCCGACTATTTATAGCAACCGATAAAGGCCGCTATAATTGTGGTAACCGCAAAAACACACCACTGCTAGCAACTCCTTTAAACCACTTATTTCCATGGCACAGCAGATTTGTTTGTGGCTAAGACGTTGAAATTATTATGTAATAATTATACAAAATACAGTAAGCTTTTGCTTAACTATCAGAAATGTCTAATATTTTTTGGCCATTTAAGCTTGCTTTTAAATGTTCCTCAAGTAAGTTGCTTGGCATATACACTTAAATCCCAAGGTATCCGTCAAGTCAGATGAAAATGTATTTCTGTCTGAATTTTTTGCTTGGCATATACACTTGAATTCCAAGGTATCCGTCAAGTCAGATTAAAATGTATTTCTGTCTGAATTTTTTAGGAGTCGCAAGAACACTTTGGGTATTTCACCAGCCAACTGATAAGAATGCACTTTCATTTTCTCGACTCTGCTTACAAGGAAACTCAATTTTCTTCATCATTTTATAAATGCTTTGAGTTCACCGTTTACAAATCCTTGACCTATTTTTTGTAATTACAGTGGCGCTAGCAACCTTTGGGGAAAATGTATACTTATACAAATACCAGAGTATCAAAAAACAATATCACTCATTAGTTGCAAAAGCAAAATTTTCCAATATTTATGACATAACCCTATTGAAAAAGAAACAGCACAAGCTGGTCCCAGCATCCAAGCTTCATGCTGGGTTATTTATTGCTCCAGCATTCCCAGCTTGCCGTGCTAGTCAAGCTGGTCCCAGCACAAGCTGGTCCCAGCATCCCAGCTTTATGCTGGGTTATTGCTCCAGCATGCCCAGCTGGCCGTGCTGGTCAAGCGGGTTGGATGCTGGGTCGTGCTGGGTGAATGCTGGGCAAATGCTACATTATGCTGGGTGAGCTGGTCATGCTGGTTAAGCTGGCGAACTTCCCCACATTTTAATCAGTTTAATTTAATACACATGATAAACAAGCCAAACTCTTCAAAAAAGCCAGCTTGGCATCTAATTTATTATTGTCGTATTGCCGTCCTGCTCACATGAGCTCAGATGCCCCACAGCATCTGCGCTGAGACAGTACTAACCGACGCACAGACAGTTGTTCTCAGTGCAAAAGAAACAATGCTATTAAAACAAGATTACTTATCGTTCTACACAAAAAATACTGGACACACGCCAAAAAGAGGCAATAACGATAAAACACTACATCGATGAGAGAAGCGAATCTGGGTCCTGCCAGTAATGTGGGTGTAGCGGCCTCTTGCGTAGTCGGTAGAGGCGAGGAAATCCGCGTGGCTTGAATGGCATTGGTGATAGTCATCGGCACCCCCGTCATTTACGAGCACACACATGTTCGAAGACACGAAACGACGCCTCAGTCGGGGCGTCCGACGTCTTCCCGCGCTGAACGGACTGCCGCTCGCTGTCTACTCAGATCCCAATTTGCTTGCACCGCCGTTCAAGTAGTCTCTAAACAACGCGCACACAGCCGTCCCTTCAAACATTCGTCCAAGACAGCCAAACGTGTCTCAAATTCTCCGTTCCTACCACTCTCTTACTCTCCCTTTTCTCGTACACAAAGGAAGCTCGCAGCGCGCCTGAAGCGCCCGATAGTCTACCGAAAACGAGAGGACAAAGAACAGGACGTGGCCTCGTCCCCGCCCCAGCGGAACTTGGCGTGCGCGTTCCCAGCATTGCCAGCTCGACAAGCTCTACCCGACCTTGGCGTGAGCGGTCCCAGCAAGACCAGCATGACCAGCTCGAACCAGCTAGGCCGAATTCAGAACCAACTCGAACCAGCTTGACAAGCTTGAACCAGCTTAAGTAGCAGCTTGCCCAGCTGCAGTGCCAGCTCGAACCAGCTTGAACCAACTTGACCAGCTTGAACCAGCTTGACAAGCTTGAACCAGCTCCAGTACCAGCTCGAACCAGCTCAAGTACCATTTTGACCAGCTGCAGTGGCAGCTCAAACCAGCTTCAACCAAATTGACCAGCTCGAACCAGCTTGATTACCCCCTAGACCAGCTCGAACCAGCTCGAACGAGCTTAAAAACCAGTTAAACCAGCTTGACCAGCTTGATTTTTTTTGCTAGTTTTTTCAACAGGGAAGGGCAGGATATAATATACTTCAAAACCGCAACACAATATCTTCAAAATGCGCGAAAAGTTCGCACATATTTTGTAGCGCATTTTGCTTAAATGGGGTGTTTTTGTAATATATTAATAACTCAGCTTTTACAAATTGACTGTTCTGACACGGATCTCGCGCATCATTCTTACAGTCTAATCTTGCGCCCTCTACCACCGTCCCCGCCTTTCTTTCATCTGTTCTTCCGTGACGCTTGATTATTGCACATGTATACACAGCAGTGTTAATTATGCTTTCTAGAACATTTTGAATCATTATCTAAACCCTAATTTCGTATGACTAGATATATTTTCAATCCTAGTTTCTGCACAAGTATGTTCATACTAAAATATGTTTGTGCAGACCATATGTTACTGTACAAATACCTCCGCGTTATTGAGCTAGCTCTTTATACATGACAAAACGTTTTTCACCTATTTGATTTTCAGGGTGGACCTTGCAGATAACTTCAATAACATCGTCTACAACTATGTGTTAGGCGAGTGACGACTTCTCTATTCTTACGCGAAACATGCCATCTTCTAACCCAATGATTGAAGACAGTTTCATTCTTAATTTCAACGTTCCTGTTTTGACCCAACAATGACAATCAAAGGAGCGTTCTTTAAGTATACTAATAATATTGTGGTATTAACGCATTCTTTTAGTAATTAAAATGTACATAATAGCTGGAAAGTCAATAAGCAATAACAAGACGCCGACTTTTTAGTTTTTACACAAAATTTTAAGATAGGTTAATAAAAATGCGCATTTTTGACGGCTAATATTCTCGCACACTGTGAGCATCTGAAGATTAATTGGCGCATAATTTTTCCTAAAGATAATTATCTTGCGTTTACTAATTAATATTAGTATTAATTTTATCGCACATCCTTTAACAAGTTATTGGTTGGCTCTCATGAAAATTGGTCCTAGCAGTGGCGTTCTACGAAAAGAAATCTGATTTGCGCTAACGTTGTCTTGGAAAGTGCGAAAACAAGGCTGAAGAACACACCTAACACACCTCCCAAATGGCGTTTTTGACTCATTACTGGCTGCAACCACTCTTTGAAAAATACTGTGCCACTATTCGTTTGATAAACTCGGTGTCAACCCCAGGCTAGTTACAGAACAACCTTTGACTTCCCTTTGAGGTGGTGTGTTCTACGCGCTTTTTGCTCTCAGTTTCAAAATTACGGCCTCTGCATACTAACAGTGTGACAGTGAATTAAGATAAAGCCTTACCTGTCGCGTTGCACGAAAAAGCGGCGTCGTTGTGCACGAAAAATGACCATAAAAATACGTTAACAATCATGCCGCTCAATCGAATGCTCAAGGACGACGCGTATAACGTCGTCGTCCTTGAGATCGACCTCGACGTCGTTCTTTAGGCGTCGTCCTTGAGGTCATCCTAGAGGTCGTCCTAGACGTCGTCCTCTAGGCATCGTTCTCGACGTCGTCCTAGACGTCGTCCTTGAGGTCGTCCTAGAAGTCCTAGAAATCACTCTTGGCGTCGTCCTAGAGGTTGTTCTAGACGTCGTCCTCTAGGTGTCGTTATCGACGTCGTCTTAGACGTTGTATTAAGGTTGTCCTTGAAGTCGTCCTAGAAATCGTCCTAGATGTCGCCCTCCACGTCGCTCTAGACGTCTTCCTTCAGGTCGTCCTTGGCATAGTCATAGACACAGTACTTGAAGTCGTCTTCGAGGCCATCCTAGAGGTCGTCCCAGACGCCGTAAATGGCGTCCACCTCTAAGGCGTCGTCCTATACTTCGTCATAAGCTTTAATGCGTTTAGAAACATCATTTGAAAACATAACGTGTAGGAAGGATTTCGCCTTCCTGGACATTTTTTCTTACCACGCGGACACGTTTCCGCGCCACCGTAGCCAATCAGAAAGCAAAAAGAAAATGACGTGTGCTGACGTCACATCGTGGCCGAGTTGCCCTAGTTGTTGGGGTTGCCGCCGAAGTTGTCGGGGTTCCCAAGTTGGCAAATGGCGTCGTCTCGCTGCGATCGTTGTGAGCGGCATAGAATCTAAAATGAATACTTATCTAGAATACATACTTATTAAACTTTCTTCGACAAGAGGCACGTGAACAACGAAGGCAGTGCCCAGAAGCAAATGTCTGCGGAATAAAGTTGTCGTGAGTGGTACCTACACAAGTTATCTTCGTTTGCTCCTTATTTTATTATTAGATTCTTGTATCGACAAGAGTGTAGGGCATTTGGTCGCTCAGCGTGCTAGCGTTGCAAGCAGCGAGAGCGTTGAACGCTGCGTCACTACAAGACAAAGTCTGCGAGTGCAGTCTCTTGAACACTGCTCGAGCCAAGGGCAGTCTGCTTTGTTGTTCGCAAGAGACCGGAGCCGCATTAATGTGGTGGGCGCCAAAGGACTATGAACGGCAAGATGTTTTTCCGCCCAGTAAATTCGGTCCGCTGCATGATTGTTTTTCGCGTGTGTAAAGGAGTCATAACACCACAAATTCTCTCATAGATTTAAAATAACATTGTTTCTAACCATAGAAATACTTTATGCTCCACCTATATAGAGATTTCGGGCATAGTACAATAAATGCAATATACAAGGCACGAGCTCGAAATTTGTTTCAAACCGGTCAGCCTTCCATGCTTTCAAGATACATTGTTCGGTGGCCAGTGTAACACTTAGTTTACCATCGGTTCTGAGAATATCGTCACGAATGACAAATGATGAGGCGGCGAAAAACTGAAGAAACTAAGCGTTTAATCGAGCGAACGTGTGCCCAAAACAAAATAGGAAAAGGCTAGCATCGCAGGCGTCGATGTCGGCGAAACATCAGGATCGAGCGCTGGAGCGAGGCTGACTGCGGCTCGCCACGCGGAGCACGTTATGTACACGCGTTGGCTTCTGGAATATTCGGCGTAGAAGGTGCGGCGACTAGTACATTCGGACCTCGAACGAGCAATAGTCTTTGAATTTACCTCAACATTAAACTGGAAGATTAAATGAAAGACGCTCAACTCCTAGGAATCGAACCTTGGGACCCGGCGCGAAAGTCGAGCGCGGTAATCATTCGGCCCCTCACGCGCTCGCTCGCCGACGCGCGTGGCAATATACGTTTTTTTGTTTTTTTTGCAGGACCTGACAGCGATATTTGCCTTATTAGTGGTTGATCCAATATCGAATTGCCTGTAGTATGCGTGGCAAAAATTAGTCTGAACAAAGAAAGGAAACACAGAGGCACCAGAATAAAATGTTTAATATGTTATTATAAATAGCTTTCTTTGATATTTATGTTTCTGTGACCTAATAATACGTATACCCGTATATGAAATAAAAACATCAAAATGCAATCCACAAAACATATACTTCGCCTAAAACTTCCTCATTTCTTGCCGTTATATGCCTAGTGACAAACCAAACATCGAGCAAAGGATTACAATTACGCGTTTAGCCTAAGTAAAGATCTGACACTTTGACACTTCCACTGTTTATTAAAATTTACATAACCATCATCTCTGCCAAATTGACAAAAATAAATTGATGGTAATGAATTACTGATTATTGCGAATAAATTTCCTAATATCTTAGGCGACCCGTCTTTTTCTTTTCTTCTTTAGGGCAAGCGAAATTTCGAGGTCTCTGCAGTAAAGACAGGCGTGTTGCGATTGTGGAGGACACGCCACCCTTCTACACGTTAGTTCAAATAATAGCACATGAGCTTGCACATACGTAAGTATAAATATGGCGTGTCAAATGTTGACGCTTTCAATATTAAGATGCATAAACTCATTTAGTTAGCAGCCAGAGCTATCTATTTTACATTGTAACACACGTGACTGTCAGGCTCCTAGCTTCTTAATCAAGGTCCACCTTTATTTTTTGATCATATAATATTAACGTGTTCGCACACTAATTGCACATTTTATAATTTCGCAGACTTGGAGCCACTCACGATGGAGACGATCCTCTCAAGAAAATATACAATATGACAGAAGACAATTGCCCCTCTAAGGGGTACATGATGTCACCTTATGCCCATGGGAACAATAACGGGCACTTCTCAAATATTTCACTTAAACAGATGAAGGAATTTATCGGGCAAGGAACAAGTAAGAACTAACATTTAACAATTTGATTAGACAATTGAGCTGAGCAAAGTCTACATTACAGGCGCCAACCAAATGTACTAAACATAAACTTCTATCTCTTTACACCGGTGTTCTTGTGCTGTTTCTGATGCCTTGCCTTTCTAGGAAACTAGTTAGGAAATGTGATTTTTCTTCCAATCTTGAATGGAATAAATTTAACCCTGCATAGGCTATACCTCATTAGCTGCTAATTGGACAGAGCGGTGGAAGCTACGTGCTCGCCGAACTAATCACCGTCTTGCATTTTATTTCCTGACGCCGCTTTTGTTTATGTGTATAGATCACGTGGTGCAACAACGACGGTTGACTGATCCATCGAGCACGCCTCTTCCCCCTGCTTGTCAACTCAAAGGCGGACGGAGTACAACACTTGTTACACGGGAGACAGAGCTATCGATATTTAAGAAAGCGAAACCAATGCTCCGCACGCTTGAGATGGGATTCTAAAGACTGCGAAGCAACACCCCTTGCTTAGTTGTATAAAAACATATGGCCCGATCGGCGGCAAAGCTGGGAGGGTGGAAGGGCGTTAGAAAACTTTGGTGGTAGAGTGCTTTCATCTGAAGGACCAGAAGAGTTCTAAACAACAGAAAATGTGATTGCAGATGTTGTGCGTACATCAAGCATATTTCCAATGCCGTTCAATGGAGTATTGATATCATATATACCATTCAACATGAACCTCATTTGGTGCGTCACTAACCGCACGTCAAGGGGCACTGACACATCACAATTATATTTTTTATTATCCGAAACGATCGAAAACGATGCCAGGACATAACCCTCAAAATTCAAAATTTGGGAATTCAGTATTTGTGGAGTAAAAAAGCAATTTCCAAATGCCGAATTCGAAGTTCCTGCGCGATCCGCGCAGGTGCGTTGACGTTAAATATTGCGAAGTCCTGAGAGTCCACTTTCTTTCACAACTCCCTGCCGTTGCCATGGCGACCCAAAGCCAGGAGGAAAGGAGCATGCGCCGGCGGACCGGTTTTGAGCGGTATCGGCTGTTTTCCGTGGGACGCCACGAACATTCAAAGCAATTCAGGTTTATATTTCAACCATCTTGAACATGGAAATCAGTGTGCTTTTGAACACATAGTGTGGTGAAACAAAAAGGCAAATAATGACCTTCAATTAGGTAAACTTCATCTCCCTTTACAAGGAGTGCAGCGGACACGAGTCATTCCAGCCAATCCTGTGCTCTGAACATAACACGTCACTTCGCGCCCCGCGCGTGGTTGCGACTCTCCCAGAGGTCACGTGAAACTCGCGCACGGCTTTGGGTGCGCTTCGATACCTGTACTGTCCTCTGCAATTGTTCGTGAAACGAAGCAGAGTATATTTAGGCTTATACGTAAAAACGGTCACAAGCAAACACATTCGTTTTCTTCCTCTAAGACTCGGTTAAAGCATACTTAAACATGCTAAGAAGTTGCGCATCGCTCTAACACACACTTTTTGCAGTAGTGGTCGGATAGCTAGTGAAAACTTTTACCACATTGAAAAACGCAGTATTCACCAATAAAATACTCGCGGTTCAAGGTTAATTTCGTAAGATGATGCCCTTATAGAAATAATGTAAATCTGAAAACAGGCAGCAGTTTTAGAAACAACATAATTCTAATCAAAACGCACGCAAGTATCTATCTTGTCATCCCTCACTAGTCGTATGACGCTCTTAAGCCCGATAATGACAAACTCTTCCGAAAAACCTATACAATAATATAATAATCATAATAATCATGTTCATTTGGATTCCTTGAGTCCCGGGTAGAGGGGCAAAAGGTAAACAGATTTTCCTGGCGAGGCTCCACAACCCTAAATATACACTGCTCAGCAGAAAATCAAAATAGAGTAGAAATGAAAAATAGAACACAAGTAAAAACGACAGTAAATCTTATCAAACGACATTTCCCTGTGCCAAGTAGCAACGAAACAAGTTTTCTACTGAATAGCGAGTTAATTAAGCCACACAAGGAGCAAAGTAGAACTTGGCAGGAGCTAGGAGCTTTCAAGCAAATAATAACACAGATAACTGGGGTTAGAGCAGATTATACGCTATTTATACGCTATGGCCTACTGTAAAATATAACGTTTCATGTTACTTTTGAAGGCAATAAGAGAAGTAGCATTCCCATTTAATTCAAAAACACTTGGATGATCACTCAAGAGCTGTGGTATTTTATACGCTAGAGCTTGCGAGCCATAACTTGTCCGCATTTGGGCTTTGTGTATGTTTAATTTCTTAGATTATATTATGTTGTATTGGGGTGGTAGATGTCACAAAATTAATTTTGGTCACTGCTGTACTCGCGCTATATTATCATCGCTAGTTTTAAAATAAAGAGCTGATGGATATCTGAAATTCAATATTTTAGGGAATATGGGGCTGAATAATCGGTATAGTGAAGGTTTCCGATGCAATGAACAACCTTTTTTTTGTAGGCCGAACAGACTGTCTAGATTTGTTTTCGTTGTGGTTCCTCAATCTAGTAAGCAATAATGTAAATGAGATTGTAAAAGTCAACAGTAGAGTTGGCACTTAAGTCGACAGGGAAGGAGTGTTTAAGCTTATACAAGATTCCAATAGATCTAGATATGCTAGAGCGAATATGATTGATGTGATCTGTTCAGCTTAAAGTTTCTTTCAACCAGACACCTAAAACGTTTAGAGAGGACACTCTTTCTAATTCTGAGTTTCTAAATTGTACCGAGAAGTTACAACAGAGTTGCTTATGCACAGGCTTGAAAATAACATTATTTGTTTTGTTAATATTCTATTCTATTTGACTAGACTCTAGCCACAGCGCAAGTTCGAGTAACCTTATGTTTGATAAACCTTCTATTACACTGAGATCCTCAATCTGTAAAAAAAACAAAAAAAAACATTGGTGTCGTTTGCATAAAGCATAATATCTGGAGTTTGCGGAATGTTCACTATATCAATTATGTACAACAAAAAAAGTAATGATCCTAGAATTGACACCGAGGCACACCATATGCGATTCATACTCATTGATTTTTACATATTGGGATCGTCCAGATAAATAGTTATGAATTACGTCCCAAGTTTTGCCCCTTATGACATAGTGCGTGAGCTTTTTAGAAGAATGTCATGTTTAATCGAATCAAATGTTTTGCGAAAATCAAAACAAATTCCTGCAGTATATAACTGAGTTTCAAAACTTTTCAATACCCTTCTGCGAAAGGCTGAGATCGTCAATTTTGCTTATACTCTCAGTTGTATTTGGTGATTAAATTACAGGGGGTTTAGCTCTGTCGTTTTACATAGCCGGCTACAGTGCTAATGTTGCCCTCAAGCGAAGGAGTATAAATAAAAACCATGATTGCTGAAAATGCTTACACTGAAACAAACCGAATTTGAGATCTGAAGGCGATACGATCTTTAATTTTTCGGGTGTCGTGTCCCGTTTACACAGAGACGCGCTAAACATATGACAAGCTCAGCTTGCACAGAAAAGTAGGCGGACGGAGATGGCGTATTCTCACGAATGACAAATGTTGAGGCGGAAAATAACTGGGGAACTAAACGTCTAATGGGACAAACTTATGCCCCCTAAAAAATAGAAGAATATTAGTGTCGCAGGCGTCGATGTCGGCGAAACAGCAGGATCGAACGCTGGGCCGAGACTGAATCCGGCTCGCTTTGTGGAGCCCCTTGTTTACAGGTGTGGGTTTCTGGAACATTTGGCGTAGAACATTTGGACCCCGGATACGCAACAGGGTTCTCGAACTTACTAGAGAACGAGAGTTACAGAAATAATAACAATGTACGTCCGCCGCCAGAAATCAAACCGTGGCCCTTTGCGTGAGAACCAAGCACAACATCCGTTAGGCCACGGGCCGCTGCCTACTCGGCCATCTGCTCGCGCGGCAATACTCTCCCCTTTAAAAATTGAATCACCTCGATGCAAAAAAAAAAAGTAAAGCAAACAAAAAATGTTAAACTAGTCAGGCATTTGGAACACACAAGGTCCACAATTGCATTGAACGCAGAATCGTTTGAGTCGAACGGCGCGAACCACCTCGGGTCGCAGTCGGTTAAAAGTTTCTCGCTGAGGCCACGACGTCGTATCGGTGTCCACATCCACACCCGGTCTCCGGGCTGCAAGTGAACGTCCAGACGACGAAAGGTATAGCGGCCAGCGTCGACACGTTGCTGGTCTTCGATCCGTAATCGGTCGAGCTGACGGACTTCTTTCGCTCGCTCCGCCAGGACTTGGGCGTCGTCACTTCCGTCGCCAGCTGGCTCGCGAGGTAGGATGGCGTCAAGCATCAGGGTCACCTTGCGACCACGCACCAGCTGGAATGGTATAATACCAGTGGTATCCTTGACCGCTGGGTCTCACGTCTTGTGTTCCACGTCGACGCACATCGACATCATGTCGGCGATGGTCTTGTTTAGGCGATCTGTCAGCCCATTAGTCTGAGAATGGTACGCTGTGGTTCGCCGGTAATTCGTGTGGCTGAGACGGGGGATCTTTTGCATCAGCTGTGCCATGAACGATGACCCGCGATCTGTAATCAAAACATCAGGAGCACTGTGGTGGAGGACGATAGACGAGAAACTTCGCGACTTCAACCGCCGTTCCTGGAGGAAGAGCTTTCGTTTCGACGTACCGCGTGAGATAATCAGTGGCGACGATTATCCAGCGATTTCCCGTCGTTGAGAGCGGAAAGGACAACGTAAACCCATTTCGATTTGCTGAAACTTCGTGGCCGGGAGAAAATACCTGCCGGATACCTGCCGGCTTGGTGGCGGTTTCTTGCGTAGCTGGCACTCGTTGCACGATGAGCGGTATTCGGGAGCTTGGGCCAGTAATACCTTTCATCAATTCGGGCCATCGTACGGCTGGAACCAAGGTGTCCGGACGTCGGGTCGTCGATGCAGACTTGGCAGATCTCCTCCTTAAGGTCGGTAGGAATTAC